GCAATGGTCCGTCGGCAATCTAAAACACGTTAGAATCTTTGGGAACTCAGACTTCGGCAGGTTAAAAAAGATTGCGCTCCAACATCAAATGATTCGCTCCTCCCTCCCCCTCGAACACTTGTCCTCGGCACAGCACACATTCCGTGAATCCTCGATCGATACATACTCAAACACACTCTCCTAAACAGAGAAAACAAAATTTTCATGATAAATCAATTTTGCGAACAAAAATTCTCTCTCCACGGACACCACACCACGCTCTTTATTGTACAATTTCAAACTGCATCTTTTTCCCCTCTGAACGCGTGCGGCACACACACTTCCTCACGATCACACCGGCACTCGCGGCTCGCGCTCCCATTTTCCGCTTAAACATAGTTTTTCAACATGCGGAGCCTGGCTCCCGCACATCCACGCAAAATCCTATAAAATGGTAATTAATTTTTAAAATAACCCACATGCGTCCACATACGTCTTAATTCACATCCACTTCTTTTAGCATCACCTTTCTCTAGGTTTGGGAGCGAGGAACCCAGCGTTGGATTCGATCTTCCTTGACCCGGTTTCTCTCTTCCCCCCGGGTACATGACACCTCGCACATTATCGTAAAAAAAAAAAAAAACCTAATTTTTATTTGGGTTTCTTTAAAAAAATAAATTAAAGCAAAAAAAATTCCTTTTTGTAAAAAAAAAATTCACATTAATTTATAAACAAAAAATAAAAAAACATAATAAATTCAAGCAATTTTTTTTACAATCTCTTTCTTCTATTTTGATTTCGATTCACTCTCTCATACAAGCAGTAACTCTGCATGATCCTTACTCACTCTATTGGGTCAACCGAACAACTGGTACCAAGTTCTTTAATTTTATCTGTTTTACTTTTGTTGCTTCAGGCGAAATTGCATTGAGGACAATGCACAAAATTTTAGTGTCTGCGGGTGAGACATACATATTTTTCCTTCTTCTATTTTACTGCCTTTAGTTATAATTTTTCTTTCCTTTTGTTTAACAAACAAATCTATATAAAATATTTGTCACTTGCCCACAATTACATTTACGAGTTACAGCTCCTTCAACTTTTTGATCTCAAATTTCTCACGATTTTTAAATTTTCTTAATCCATAGTTACGTGACATATTTCAAGTTCAACCTTTTATGCATAACTCCAAATAAAAAATTTCTTAAGAAATGATTTTTTTTCAACTATATACTTTGTTAAGTCTTACCTTAAGACTTTTAATTAAAAATAATAAAATTTTGTGCATGATCTTACACTTAGAGTTCGAAAATATTTTTTTCAATTTATCTTGATTTTACAAATTTTTTTAAGACTATATATACTTTACACATATTAATATATTAAAAAATAAAAACTAACCTTATTAGAAGAGAGTCGCGCAAAAAAATGGCACCACCAACAAAACAAAAAACAAAAAAAAAAAAACTCTTAAATTCAAGGTGATTCTTATCTTATAAGCGCTAAGTTGACTGAGCAATTAATGCCCAAGGAGTATCTCTACTACTTAATTGACCCTAAGCCACAATCTGGGTTGGGATTCATTGGGCCCAAAACTCGTTAACATGGTCACTTTAGAAAAGCCCGTTAAAATAGAAAAACAATCCCAAGAATTAGAGAGTCTCGGAAAAAAAAAATATATATATATATATATAACACTAACCATTGTTTTTTATATTATATTGTTGTTTGGTTTGTAGTATATGGGTCTTGAAAAAAACAATTTTGATTCAAAGAGACTTGAAAGTTATTTAAAACCAAAAGGAGTTGGCATGTTTCTTTTTCAAACTTTTTAATTAAATTTCTAAGATTGACTTTGGTTTTTGTATTACTATTATGGAAAGATTTTCTACGGGGATTACATTGGAGTTATATATAACAAAACGTTTTCTTGATTATTAACTAGCTTCACACTTAGAATGCTTTTTAAATATAGTCAAGAAAATCGTGCTTTATTATCTGACTTATTAACTTAGGCAACAGTATGGACAATTTTGTGCCGGTATATTCGACTGCGAAACCGCTCACGAGACTTACAACTCGGTCCACTAGGTAACCTAGGGGTTTAAAGGCTTGTTGTATGCCGCTAAATACAACCGAAGATCTCCTGCGGAAAGTGAGCTTAGAATTTTCTTTTTTATTTTTCTTTGCTTAGAGGACTAGGCAAAAAGTTATAGGTATGGGGGTAATTTGATAATGCACAGTTTTTAGTTTATAATTTTATACCATCATTAATTCTATTCTATGATGAATAAAATATACCACTAATAAACTTGTTTTTATCTGTTTAATTACAGGTTAATGAAGAATAAATCTCAACTTCCCATCTATCTCAACAAAAACCCATTTTGATTAAATGGAAGAAATGATTCAAGTCAAGCCAAAGTTGAAATTTTCGAATTTGTTGTAAGCGCCCAAAGCAAAAAAGATTACAACAAGGGAAACAAGACCGGAGCAAACAAGATTGGATTTTTATGCAATAGTTAGAATGAATATGGACTTGAATTGCAAAGAGTTGAAATGAGTTGGGTTCTGTTGATGCAAAAAAAATTACGGAATTTGTACAGGTGACCGAACTTCATCAAATGAAAACCGGACCTGAGGTGTTTTGAAATTCAAAAGCACTTGTGAAGACCGGCAAATTGTTGCTGCATAGTTGAGAAAATCACTTCTACTTGAAGTGGGCATTGACTTCGTTGAGCAGTCTCCAGTGGGCGGCATTTCGTTCTCAATAAATTGCATTTTTTTTTCAAATGCCATAGGACCCTGCTCCTTTGCTTGTGAAGTTATTGACTGGACAATCTGATGCATCTTTCATTTGGGCCGAAAAAAATCAAAAAATGAAGATGGGCCAAAGAAAATCAAAGTAATGAGCTTTTGTTTCACTTCATCAAATGTGAACTTGTTGCTTTGCACTCTCTCGGTTTTATTAATCAAAATGAGGAAATCAGTTTCAATGGGGCCGGACCTGGATTTGGAAATTATTGGCTGTCCAAAAAATTTACTTTGATTTTCTTTTTGAAAGAATCAAAAGAAACATATGGCGCTAAAGAAGAACCAAAGCAAATTCGAAAGGTGGAGATTGTTAACTTGGAGCTCAAGACAATCCAAGGGCTTCATATTCATTGAAGCATTACTATTAAATAGGGTAGAGACGATGAGAGGTTAAGGGTGTTGAAAATTTTGTAAACCTCTTTGTTGGAGAGGAAGGGGCTACTCTTAATTGAGAAAAGGCCTTCCAAAAAATTGTAACTTTAGTTTTCGCAATTAAATAATAATAATTTTTCCTCTTTAAATTTTTCTTTCTCCTCTTGTGGTGGAATGAATGAGGATGGAGATTGAAGAGCAATTTGGAAGGTTTGCATTCTTTTTCTCTTTCTCTGTTAATTTCTCTGTATTATTGCTTATTAGTTAGATTTAAATTCATGCTTTGTAGCTGTAGATTTATTTTCTTGTTCTTTTTATTCTTTTGCCCACTTTAGTTTGTAGGAGTAGATTTATTTTTCTTGCATTTAATTTTCTGCCAATTTATTTTGTAGCTTAGCATTTTATTTTCTTTGTAATTAGATTATTTCTTGTTCATAGTTTTTATATTTTTTCTTCTTTTATCTTTTTGTAATTAGGTTCTTTTTTCTTTGTCTTTTATTTCTTAAAGATGTGAATTTAAATTCTTGTAGGAAGTTTAGAATTATATGAAACTAATCATAATTTCCTTTATATTGTATGAATTTTTCTCTTGCTACTTTAAAATGTTCATGTTTAGGGATAATCAACTAGAGAACTAATCGTTTAGAAGAAGAATTTGATAATCTATGGTTATCTTAATGTTTGACTAGGCTTATCTTTATGCAATTCTACGGATTATTATCATGTGTGTTATTCTTATCATGAATAGTAATTTAGCCTTAGATATAATTTGATATGCTTACACTTTCCCTTGAGAATGGTTTGATAATCTATGCCTAATAAATCTAAGTTGAAAATATGATAAAAGAGAATAGTTATATTATTTGATATTGAACATTGGTTAGTGGGATTATATTCTAGATTTCTTAACTTCTTTTGAATCATCCATCTTTAACTTCTTAATTTCTTCTTTCGATTCTTAGTTTTATTTCCTTGATTTTTATTAGATTCAATTTCTTGCCCTCGTGATTTCATTTATTTCTTTGCATTTGCTTCCTTTCTCTCCTCTAAAATTCCATTTATTATCTTTTTGGCAATATATTTCATAAAATCCACTCAACAATACCCACATTCACACTGTATTCCTTATATTCCTAATCTCGTCAATGCATAAAAATATAAGAGAACCAAGTTAAATTAAAATTATTCTTAAAATCACCTTTTCTTCGTGCGATCGACTATCTTTTTATACTATAACTTGATAAATTGTGCACTTGCAATTTTGGTACATAATTATGCCGCATCAGTCGCCCATCTCTTGCAGCGAGTCACAAAGAGATCGCTAGCTGGGGTTTTGAAAGCCCATTCTCCATAGGACCTCTCACTTCCAGATCATTTCTTCTTCGGTTCCAGGAGGAGAGGGACCTTCTAAAAACCCTAACCAGACCATCTTCAACCCTCATCACTTTCCCATACAAAATTTTTAGATGGAACAACCGCTACCATATAAAGGAGGACTCGAGTATGGTGCCAATATGGATTTCGTTGCCGAGGCTCCCCTTGCAATGTTTTGCCCCTGAATTTTTGGAATCAATTGGTAACACAATTGGCTATTTCCTATGTTTGGACAAAGCCACGGCTACGCTTGCTCGTCCTAGTGATGCGAGAATGTGTATTGAACTTGATCTTAGGAAGGAGCGGCTGCAGTTCATATTGATTGATTTGTTTGAGGGAGTTAAGCAACCGATTGTATATGAGAAGTGCCCAAATTTTGTACAGGCTGCCTTGTTCAGGGTCATACAAATGTAGAATGCTCCAAATCTTCTTTGGACACCCTCCAGGCCCAAGGCTCAGGCATGATTCCTGCAATTCAGGAGCGCTCACTACATGTTCGACGAAATGCCAAGGAGAGCTCGGTCGCTGTTTCTCATCCCCATCCCCATCATTCTGGGGCTTCATCTGTAGCTGCATCAACAGCTCCCTTGTCGTCCTCTAATTCGTCCCAGCAGGATACCCCTGATCCCTCTCATCAGCAACCTCATCTACCTCCAATCAGCCCCGCCATCCTTTCTTCGGAACAGCAGTCCACGGCAGACCCCAATGCTCCGCTTCCCCTTCATCCACCTCCCTCGAAGCATGCTCCTTTCGCTGTTGCAGCTCTCTTGTCGGCTGCGGATCTTTCCACATTCAGGGACCCCCCCGATTTCTCTCTCTGCAGCAGCATCATTTTCGGAGTAGTCAACTATGTGAATCCGCTACCCCTATCCTCCACCTCTCATCATCAAAACATCGCTGCCCGCTGCCTGCAGCAGGCAACTGCCTGCCAGGTCCAGCCGCTCCTGCAGTCCACTGACGCTGCGGCAACTCATCCGCCTCTTATTCCACCACCATCCAACTCCACTGTCGCTACAGTAACTCATCAGCTATGTGATCCGCTATCCTATCCTCCACCTCCATCTCAACCACCGCTGCCCGCTGCTGCACAGCAACTGCCTGCAGTCCAGCCACACCTACAGTCCTCTGTAGCTGCAGCAACTCATCCGCCTCTTATTCCACCACCATCCAACGTCGTAGCAATCTCCTCTTCCACTCCGTTACCTTCTTCTGCAGTATCACCCGCTGACTCAGTCCAGCATCCTCCGTCGTCCGAGGTCCAGCCGAGTGACACAAGCTCAGTTTCTGCCCCTGCTGCAGTCCCCTCCACGGCACAGTTTCTGTCCGCCCAAGCTGCACCCTTCTCCCCTTCGGATCCAGTCCAAGCAACTCAGCAAACTTCATCTCTAAACAACCAGCACTCTACCTCATCCTTGAGAGTTTACTACAACTCCACGGTGCCAAATATATGACCATGTTGCCTCAAAAAAGCCGGCCATTATGTGAGATGGTTAATCGTCAACAAGGTAACCAAGGGCACCTCTCATCCATCATAAATGCTCCCAGTCCTGCATACAACCACCACCAGATTCATGCCCTCGAAGGATATGACTCAGAGGGCTCTTTTGAGACCGATTCTCAACCAAACTCCCCTTTGGAGAGTTTAAAGGAAGATGCCATCAAATGCCCGTTCCTTCCTCAGTCCTGCGTTTCTGAAGGAGAACAACCTACTGAGGACCACCCCGGATTTCAAGGCCATGTCTCTGATGTGGAATTCTACCATCGACCTATGTCTTCAAAAAAGAATAAGAAGCAACCCGATGGACCCCTTAGAGTCCAACTTAGGACCCGAAAAGGGCCTTCAGTGCACAAATGATCTATATTTTTAGACGGTCATGGTCATGGTCAATGTACTGTTTAGTCTCTAGTGTCCTCTAGTTTTTGTAAGAGTGAGGGTTGTCTCACTCATGAACAGGTCGCACT